CGACTAGCAGGTAGAGGGTAGATTGACACTCAAAGTGAGTGTGCTGCTGGACCCATCTTTATATCCATGGGGTCACGTATTTCTCTTTCTTATCTGTGATGCCAAATAGTGCTGGTCTGCCTTTTGTGAGACCAGTTCTTACAAGGGAGTTGTGAACTTAATTTACACTTGTAAGAGAGAGAACTAAATTGGAAGTACTGGAGATTCTTTTCTCAGTGGGAAATTCCTCTCCCAGGGACTGTGTGTGATCGAATCAACATGGGTGCCAGCCGGGCACTTCTCGCAGCCTCGAGGCCAGCTTATTGCCTTAATCGCTCTCTCCTCATATCTATGTTTTCAGCTTCTCAGGATCAGATGAGCCAGCATAGACTATGCTGATTTTATTGCTCCTTCTCTGTCCTGTATGCTTCAGGAACCTCAGAGAGGCAAATAAGATGGATGAGATGGGGGTGGGGTCTGTCTAGCTACATTCCACCCCCTGATATGACACACCACATCCTGGGAATGCAAGATGGTGGCTTGCCAGCATCTCTTGTCCACCTTGGAGGAATCTAAAAGTTCCCAATGGCCTGATTAGAGGGTTCAGGATCTAGGAATTGGCTAGGGTTCTTTCCTAGTGCTTTATATCAAAGGTGCACACAAGAGATAGCTACATTAACTAGGCATTGCACAATACATAGGGTTATGCAGAAAAGGAGTACAACAATCAAAACAATTAAAACAGTGGTCAAAATAGAGTGTAGGAAAGGAGTTAGGGAAAGTTCTAGCTGTTGGGCTAACCAATTTAGCCATGAGTTGTTTACATTCTTAGTTACAGCATGTCTAACCCCTACCGTCCCTTGCAGTGGGCAATGCTGAGCTTCCAGAATGCTAAGATTTGTAAAATGTTACCAATACTTGTACAGGGCTACAGGGCTTTGTGCCCCGGGGTCACGACACCGGTCAGAGGACACCAGAAGTGTTCCTGGCTAAGCAAGCACAAATATGGTGGATCTCAAATATAAACAAACAGAATCCCCAGCCACAAAGCAGATGGCAAGGATCCCCAGGAGACTTGGAGTGACGATCAGCATGGGAACCATGTTCACAGACAGCTACAGGCAGCTGCATCATCCTTGTTCTCTGATGAAATGTCCCTTCAGCCCAGCAGGGGAAGGGTCTGCTCCCACAAGTGAACTGTGTCCTGTCTACCACAGAAAACACCTGGATCTAATTTACAGCAGGACTGGAGACCTGTGTCTCCCCCTGACCTCAGTGTGACCTCAACCCCTTGGCCAATCAGGACCATTCCACGTCTACACTGACCAATACAGGACAAAAGCTCAGACAAAGAAACGGCTTTTTTTTTTTTTTTTTTGCATTGGCTGTAACAAATCGGGACACAACAGGAGTAATGAATTCCCCAGGCACTAATTAATCTTCTGGCATGCTCTGAGGATGGGGATTGCTTCTGACACAAGGGGAATTCACAGCTCTGAGTGAGCAAGAGAGTCTAAAAACTGCAGGAACTGGAAAATCGAAAAGCTTGATGATTTTTCTGACCAAAGGCTGGGCCCACCCCATCCCTTTGTTTTGACTTTCCATTGTACCTTCAAAGTACAGTTTCCCCTTCCCCAACCTTACCATCTGCTGCCCCTAGCGCCCATTATACACTATACGGATTCATTCCCCACCTCCATCCTCTGCTGCCCTAGTGCCCATTCTACAGTATAGCCGCCCCTTCTCCCTCAGCTGTCCGCCCTGTTTCCTAGTTTCTCAGACAAAGGGAATATTGTCTCTGTTTATCATGAAATATTTTTGTTTCTTGAGTCTTCCAACACAGTTATCTTGTGAAATATGAATGTAAATGAATCCTCCTATTATATCAAAGAGAAATAATAAAATGATCCCATGCTGCCTCTCGGAGCCTCCGTGTATTTTTCATTTTCCTATGAGTGAATTCTGGGGAAGCTGAGGGAAGACAGGAAGAGGCGTGTAACCCAGAGGTGCTGAGATCACAGAGGGGCAGTGAAATCTGCTCTTTGCCTGAACTTACAGCCGATTTAGCTGCTAATATCCCCATTTCAGTTGTGCCTGCCGATGACCCGGGCCCTCGGCTTTCCCTGTCTAGGTTCATGAAAGAGCAGAGCCAGGGAGAAAAAGTTTTCAGTTGCAGTTTATTGTCGCTGGGCAACCATGGAGACAGACAAACATGCTGCACAGCGTTTCTCAAAATACAAATATAGGTTGGTATTTTTATGATAGCCTTACACAGTCCCACCCACAGAGGCATTCGGTGTCACGTTGGTAACATTGAGTGAACCTCTGACAGTTCTAGGAGTTTTGGACACAGGTGCAGGTTCCCGTGTAGAGTATGAAATGCAGACAGTGAGTGTCTCCCTCAGGAACAGTGGAGGGAAATTCCCTGGCCTTCCTAGAGCAGGCGTCAAGTTGGATACTCAGAATGGCCCCTTACAACCCCCCAATCAAGGAGTCTGTGCTGCGCAGCGTTGTGCTCCAATGCCACCCGCCTGCCCAGCCCTCTGGGCTTGTGCAAAAGGCAATGGAAGTGCAGGGCCATCTCCCGGAGCAGGTGTGTGACCCGGTCAGGTGGGGCATTGAAAGAGACATCACAGCCTGACCTAGGGAGTCTGACCAAGGGAGCCAGGAAGAATATTTATATTTAGGCCTCGGAGAACAGGGACGCATTCGATACACCCAGCTCAACCCAGGACAAAACCTCAAATGCTTGTCTGCATCAAAGGGAGAAACCCAAATGGACTTTCTGTAGACCAGGTTGGAAATTTTCACTTTTAAAAAGTTGGTGAAAATTTTTCTGAAAGTTTTCTGAGGAGAAAGTTTTCTGAACTATTTCTCATTTTGAGTTTTTCCCTCCTTTAGGATTTCAAGATTGGAAGGTATAAAATCAGGAAATAACTTTGATTAAATATTCTCTGCTGATGGTTCAGTAAATTTAGATTTCACTGTAACAGAGAGAGAAATTTTCCTTGTATTTACATTTACTTTTATGGTAACAATATTTTCTCTTCTAATGTGCCTGAATGGTTTGCAACAAGTCATAATTATGCAAGAGGCTAAATATCAGTTAAAAATGAGTGTCATCAGGAGAAATTCAGAAAATATTAATGATTTTCTCTCTTTTCCAATGTTTCAGGTAACTCTTCTTTTCATTCTCTAATTTCTCTAGTTGTGAGAAAAGATGGTCTTCTCTAGAGTTTTTCTGAAGGCTCCATGCACCTCTTTGTTCCTCAGTGTGTATATTAACGGATTTAACATGGGTGTCACAACTGTGTACAGGAGGGAAATCCAGTGATCACTCTCTGGGGTGTAGCTAGACTTGGGTTTCATATAAGTTATAATGCAAGTTCCATAGAACAAAGTCACCACCACGAGGTGGGAGGAGCAGGTGGAGAAGGCTTTACGCCTCCCCTCTGCCGATGGCAGCTTGATGATAGTGGAGATGATGAGGATGTAGGACAGGAGTATCAGTACAAAAGGGCCCATGATGAACAGCACCGACACAGTCAAGCCCAGGATCTCGTTCATCCATGTATCGGCGCACACCATCTTCTCTATTGGCCGGATGTCGCAGAAGAAGTGGGGGATGCGGTTGGAGCCACAGAAGGGCAGGCTGAAGAACCACATGGTCTCAGCTGATTCCGCCAAGAGGCCAATGGTCCATGAAACACCCGCAAGCAGTGCACATGCCTGGCCACTCATGATGGTTGTGTAGTGCAAGGGGCGGCATATGGCCACATAGCGGTCGTAGGCCATGGCTGAGAGGAGGCAGCATTCCGTGAGGCCCAGCGTGGTGAAGACCAACATCTGGACCATACATCCCACAAAGGGCGGCATATGGTGGTCCACCAGGAGGTGAACCAGCAGCTGAGGGGTCACATTGGTGGTGTAGCAGATTTCTAGGAAGGACAGGTTCACCAGGAAGAAATACATGGGGGTGTGCAGGGAAGGATTTAGCTTTATCAGGAGGATAATGAGCAGGTTCCCCATCAAGGCAACTAGGTAGATGACCAGAAGCAGCAGGAAGAGAAGTATTTGCAGCTCGTTAAGGTAGGAAAAGCCCACAAGTATGAACCCATCAGAAATGGTCTGGTTCTCGCCAAGCTCGCTCACAGAATAGGTCATCTGCAGGGGTGAGAAAGGAAGAGACACTGGAGCTGAATCTGTGGAACACCAAACCTGTGGCCGTGAATTGAACAAGTCAGGCTAGGTCACCATCCTTTGGGACCCTCTGCAGTAAAACCAGCTGCAACTCAATATGGAAATGTGTTCTGAGGCGCTCTGAGCAACAGGACTAAACTGGAGTCTCTGTCACTCGGGCAGTCTAGATCAGCTAGAGATGTGACTAGATAGATGGAGTCACAGCTGATTTACAGTAGACATGGCTCTGATATTCAAACTCCAAAGGAAACTCATCAGTCTCCAACAGCGTTTGACCCCACTATCCGGGGTCTATTCTTCCACTGCAGAGGAAACTGTTCTATCCTCATAGAAACTGAAAAGAAATGAGTCTTTCTATCTCTGGGGGTGTTATTCTGCTGTCACGTTTCAATGATAAGATTTTATCCTACGGGGCCAAATTCTCATCTCGCACATAGGAGCCGTGTTATGTTCATGCAAATATTCCCTCTGACTTCCTAACTCACATGAGGGGGGCGGCTCCCAGGAGTAAAGTGTAAGTAGGGAGACCAGCATAGTTAAAGCCCTCCGGAGAGTGAAAGAATGCCGGGCCAACTCCCATCTCTAATGGGCGAAAGCTGAAACCCAAGGAGGATCCCTGACATTTCTGGCACTCTCATTTTTCCCAAAATGGGAGAGGTGAATTCCGGTCAATTCTCTCGTTCTCCGAGTGACATTGAACATGCATTGGCTTCTCTCAGTGTGGAACTGAAGGCCTCAGGCCAGATTCTCATCTGGAATCAATCTCACAGCCTGGGCTAGGGACACAGAGACTCAGTGATTTGCACCAATTGAGAATCTTTTCTCATTTAATGGATGTAAAGGGGCTGGAGGAGGCTAGATCCTCCCTACGCAAGATGCAATTTCCTTTATGCCAGATGATTTAATTTTCACAAGGGACGTCATAATAATGGGTAATGACATGAACTCCCACCAGAGTTGAAATAAACATGAGCATTTTGCATGTTTTTAGCACTTTCAATAACCAACCAAAAAAACATTAGGGGCGGGGCTATGCAGTGAGTCAGCATTCCCCAAAATACAGTGGACTCTCGTGAAACCAGATTTTATGTTACAGCCATAAGACCAGTCTTTTGGAAATGCAACACACACGCACAAACACATGCACACACACACGCACAATCAAACACACACACACACACACACAGACTCAATGTAATCAAACAGAGAAAATTAAATCAAGGGCATTCTCGGGGGTAGCACTGTACGACGGGCCCAGCACAGATCCAAAGGGAATGGAGATCTCTCAATAAGGAGTGAGAGAGAAGAGGTGGAAATACTTCTTCCTCTCGTTGGGGAACTTACATTGACATTTCTAAGAACAATCAGAAAAGTGACTACAAAGCTGATTGGAAAATGGAAGGTCTGATGGAAATTCCAATATTCCAACACTCGTACTCACCCTGAATCGCTAGGGAACGTTGGAAGAGAGAAAACCTGAATTCTGCTGCAGAAGGGTCAATATAAAATCGCATGGAAAATACAAAGTGTCCTCAACATCAGTGTTTTCTCATGGAAAACATCAGTGCTGAGGAAACATTTATTGAGGTGGGATTTGTTTGATTGATGTGTTGGCTGGCAGTGGGAAAAGCTCTCCATAAATGGAGATGTTTACTCACCATGCAGAACAGGGTCTGTACAGGTTCTGGTCCCTAGGGGGTGAGTGATATTTTCATAGCTCTTCAGGGCATCTGGACACTCCATGGATAGTCAGGAGAACATGGAAGGAACTACAGAAACACATTAGCGGGAGAGAGGGATGAGATATATTAAACACCTCTTCACGCTGGCATAGCAGGCACAGGACATACTAAAAAAGGACTCTCTGAAAAGGGATCAGACCTTGCCCACTCACCCGACTATTCAATCCCAAGAAAGGACCCACATCAAGGAACAACATATCTCTTTGGGTTCAATGAAGAAGAAGGAGGAGGGTTGGGGAACAGAGGGGAGTAAGGATAAAAGGAGGAAAAACAATAAACAAACACTCCCACTACCACCACCCGCACCACAATTACAAGACCAAAGGAAACCTGAAGTAGACTCAAAAAATGGGGATGAACCTGTTTGCAGTTAGGTATCACTTTGCGGGGCACTTTATGGGGCCAAATCTTCATATGGTATAAATTAGCCTAACATCCCTGAAATATAGTTCACAACATGACATCTCATCCTATTATCTATCCCATAATAGATTTGGATCTACCGAAATTGAATAGAGAGACTGACAGATTCAGAGAACAATAGCTTAATTATCATTCTAATAAAAAGACTGTCAGGCGGAGTTGAATAGTGAGCTAGAGGAGGGTGTATGGGGATAGAGACAGAGAGAGACAAAGAGAAAGGGATGTGTGCATGGGGATAGATAGATAGATAGATAGATAGATAGATAGATAGATAGCTGTGCTATATGGGGACAGGCAGACAGAGAGACGGGGAGTTGTATAGATCGATACATGCATAGAGCCTCTGCCCATGCATAGGACATTTAGATGAAGAAACCAGAGACAGGATGTTTCTCCCACTGCAGAGCAGGACACAACACCACTGCAGGTCACTGGGAGAAGGACAGCAGGTTCCATCCTTCATTCAGAGCCTACCATGGTTCAGAAGAGAAGTTCTGTCTCATGCAGAAAGGGCTAAATGCGTAGAAGGTAAAACCAGTGTTTTTATTTCACTCTCTGGCCTCGGGGATCTAGTCCCAGAAGTGATTGGTTTATAACATTCCTTGGAGGCAGAACAAGCCAGCCTCAGACTGTAACAGCACACAATTCCCCAGGTCCGTGAGTTCGGATGAACCGCCATCTTTAGCAACACAACGTGTTGTCTAGATGAGTGTCCTAAGGGCTTTACTACCTGTGGTGAAGGTTCTGTCTTTTTTTTTTTTGCAGAGACATGATGAGGAACACTGACTTGTCCAACACAACACACAGCGTCAGGGACACCCCCATTATACAGTATAGCCGCCCCTCCCCCACCCACCCTCTGCTGCCCCTAGTGCCCATTATACAGTATAGCCGCCCCTTCCCCATCCCACCCTCTGCTGCTCCCAGGGCCCCATGCTACAGTATAGCCCCCCCTTCCCCCCCCCCCCCCCCCTCCCCCTGCCAGTCCACAGTTTTGGCAGGCTGCTCTGCCTCCTGTCCTGCAACTTCAGCTGGCCCTGCTACTCAATATGCCTGCTCCCCACCAGTCTCCCTACCCTCCCTCTTCAACCGCCCCTCCCCACCCCCCCTCCCCTGCCCCCTAGTGCCCATTATACAGTATAGCCGCCCCTTCTCCCCCCCCCTCTGCTGCCCCCTAGTGCCCATTATACAGTATAGCTGCCCCTTCCCTACCCCACCCTCTGCTGCCCCCTAGTGCCCATTATACAGTATAGCCGCCCCTTCCCCACCCCACCCTCTGCTGTCCTAGTGCACTGACAGAGACTGGGGTGGACGGTGTGTTCCTGTGATATCAGGGTCCCTGCTGCATTGAGGGCTTATTCCCTCTGCTGCCCCCTAGTGCCCATTATACAGTATAGCTGCCCCTTCCCTACCCCACCCTCTGCTGCCCCCTAGTGCCCATTATACAGTATAGCCGCCCCTTCCCCACCCCACCCTCTGCTGTCCTAGTGCACTGACAGAGACTGGGGTGGACGGTGTGTTCCTGTGATATCAGGGTCCCTGCTGCATTGAGGGCTTATTATATTTGGTACCCTGGTGAGACCCAGTGATTAGCGCTGCCCCTTCATCCTCTTCCCCAAGAGCAGCAGGATGCTGTGACCAGTAGGTCTCACTGCGCAGAAGATGTATCTTATATCTCTGACCTCATCACATCTGCCCTGAGGTGTGTGTAGGTTCGGCAGCATTATCATTCCAGGTATGGTGGTGACCCCACCACCTATCACCATGGGAACGCATCACAAAGCACTCTGGGGTGAAATCACACCGGGGCAATGAGGTCATGTGAGTGGTTGCCGTGGGCCCCCAATATAAATGGGTGGGCATCCCTAGTTCCATGCCTGTTGCCTTGGTGGAGTGGAGGGAGCAGCAGGTCCTGGGTTTCTCCAGACCAAGTGCTACGGTGTCCGTGTGTGAGGCTCAGAGAGACCTTCTCATAGTGCCCCTGTCAGGAGTTTCTGGGAAGGCCTGGGGATTGGCAGCTGTTGCCTGAGAGAGGCGGGCTCAGGGTCGGGTGGCAGGTTTGGGGACGTGCTGAAACAGAGGATGCAGGCAGGGTGGTGGCTGGCAGGCTGGATGAAGGCTCCTTGGGTCTAAGCAGTGTCTGTGGAGCAGAGAGCAGAAAGGAGTGGCTAGGGACAGACAACCGGGAGCAAGAGAATGGGGAGAGGAAGCAGCCCAGAGTGGGACATGTAATTGACGTCCGCGGGCTGATGTATTTCGGCGGGAAGCCCCGTCAGCCAGACAGGACCATAGATAATCCTTGTCCTTAGGGCCCTGGGCTGGGGCCTGTGAGTAAGGGTGTGTACAGGCCCCCTTCTCCCCGCCACCCGAGGCAGGAGTGCACAATCAATAGTGCATTGCAACCAGAGTTGCCTGGACTGCTGTGAGAACTGGTAGGGGTGGCAAACCTAACGTGAGCCAGACTCGGGCTCTTAGAACGAGACGAAAGAAGGGCCAATAACACACTTGTAAACAGGAACAATAAAAGCACTTGTTAATAATATGTGTGGACAGAGCTGGCAGCAGAGTCTATTGCAGGGGGAGGTTCCTAGGTGAGTATGTCTGAGGTGTGATGTGTGGTTGCTGGAGGGAACTGGCTTCAGGTTGGGGGGCTGTCTATAGGCGAGGACTGGCCTGTCCCCCAAGGCCTGTGAGAGGGAGGAATCGTTTTCCAGGACAGGTTGTAGATTGTTAATGAGGGTTTAAGTTGGGGGCTAGCGGTGATGACTAGTGGTGTTCTGTTATTTTGCTTGTGGGGCTTATCTCTAAGAAGCCAATGTCTGGGTACTCATCTGACTCTGTTAATCTGTTTGCTGTACTTTCCCAGTTTTAAGACTGCTTGACAGAGACCATGAAAGTGTTTGTCTCTTTCTGTGGGATTGGAGCAAATCTGGTTGTATCTTAGAGCTTGACTGTAGACAATGAATCTTGTGATGTGTCCTGGACAGAAGCCAGAAGCACATAGGTAAGAATAGTGGTCGGTAGGTTACTAGCATAAGGTGATAGTAATGTGACAATCAGTTAAGTGCACTGTAGTATCAAGGAAGTAGATCTCTTGTGTGGACTGGTGCAGGCTAAAGTTGACAGTGGGGTGGAAGTTGTTGAAATCCCTGTGGAATTCTTCAAGGATCTTCTTCTTGGGGGTCCATATGATGACAGTGGTGCCAGCGTAGCTTAAGTAGAGTAAGGATGCTAGGGGATGGGAGCTGAGGAAACGTTCAAGGTCAGCCATAAACATGTTGGCATACTGTGGGGCCATGCGGATGCCCATGGCTGTGTTACTGACTTGAAGATATTAATTGTCCCCAAATTGGAAATAGTTGTGCGTGAGGACAAAGTCATTCCCCTCAGCCACCAGGTGTGCAGGGCACCCTCAGGGATACTGTTCCTTACAGCTAATAATCCATCATTGTGTGGAAAGTCAGTGTAAGGAGCTTCTCCTTCCATGGGGGCCTGACTGGTGTGTTCAGGAAAATTCCGGATGCTCTGTAGTTCTTTCAGGAAGTCAATGGGGTCTGGAAGGTATCTTGGAGTCTCTGAGGAGAGATTTGAGATAACTAGATAATGCTGCTGTAAGGGGCTGGTGCCTGAGATGATGGGAAGTCTGGGATTCCCAGGTTTCTGGCTCTTGGGTAGCAGAAGGAACACTCCTGGTCGGGGCTGTGTGTGGGGGGGGAGGGGTTGTACAGATTTGGTTCCAATGTGTAGCAGGGAGTTTAATGAGCAGATGATTCAATGTCTTTTGCTGTTTGCAGTGGGATCAGAGGAAAGGGGCCTGTGGACTGTGGTACAGGTGAGTTGTTTGGCAGCCTCCTGCTTGTAATCTGGCCTGTCCGTGATACCCACAGCGCCCCTTTGTTGGCCTCTATGATCAGCATGTTAGAGTGTTTTATGAGGTGGCGCATGACATTGTGGGCTGCATGGCTGAGGTTGCATGTCCCATGTTGTCGTTTGTTTACAATGTCAGCCCGGGCACATTGGCGGGAGCAATTGGTGTAGAAGTCCAGACTCTTGTTATGACTGTGGGGGGCCCACATACAGGCCTTCCTCTTGTGGGGCTTCCAGATCCCCACAAACCTGACCCATATGTAAGGGCGGGGAAAGAGCACTCGAGACAGGGCTGGTTCCTGTGACGGGTAAGAGTGAGGTGGGGTAGATTGGCAATGGCATTAGGGGTGGAGGGTCCCGGAGCTGAAGTCTCCTGAGGTGTGTAGGCGTTTAGATCGTGTATTGTCCTTTTTATTCTGTAAGGAAGTGAGGTGAGCAAGTGAAGGTGACTGGTGCGGTTCTGTAAATCTAGCCACGAGGAAGTTTGTGTGGGAGCTTGGTTTGTTATGAGAGTCTCTGCTGAGAGCTCCCCCTTGATTTTCTGCTCCGTGTTGGGTAGGGTGCTGACTAGGTGGCTCTGCAGTTTCTTTGGCCGTGGGGATGTAGAGTGCAGGGGTTTCACCTTTCGTCCCTTGGGTCTCATGTTCATCTCTTTGCACGTGGGAAGGAAGAGATGTCAGCTGGAATCTGTGTCCATTTCCTTGTGCAGCTGATGGATTTTCCCTCCCTATGGCTGAATGCAGGGCCTGGCACATGGTTACATGTCTCAGAGCACTGTTAATCTGTAACTTAAAAATAACGTAAAAAACAAGTGGTCCTGTAGCACCTTAGAGTCTGCAAGAACATAAGAACATAGGAACGGCCGTACTGGGTCAGACCAACGGTCCGTCTAGCCCAGTAGCCCGTCTGCCGACAGTGGCCAGCACCAGGTGCCCCAGAGAGGGGGGACCGAAGACAATGATCAAGCGATTTGTCTTGTGCCATCCATCTCTAGCCTCTGACAAACAGAGGCCAGGGACACACTTTCTCTCCCCTTGCTCATAGCCTTTTATGGACCTAACCTCCATGAAATTATCTAGCTTCTCTTTAAACTCTGTTATAGTCCTAGCCTTCACAATCTCCTCTGGCAAGGAGTTCCACAGGTTGACTATGCACTATGAAGAAGAACTTTCTTTTATTCGTTTTAACCCTGCTACCCATTAACTTCATTTGGTGTCCTCTAGTTTTTCTATTATTGGAACTAATAAATAACATTTCTGTATTCACCCTCTCCACACCACTCATGATTTTATATACCTCTATCTTAACCCCCCTTCTGGTATGTTACACTACAGTGCTATTTCAAATTAACTTAATTCAAAATAGTTAATTCAAATTAAGCTAATTTGAAATAACGCATCTAGACACAAAAACAATGTCAAAATAGCGTTTTGCTATTTCAAAATAGCACGTTCACACTTAGTGGACCCTGAACCGAAGTTAAGGCTGGTCGGAACCAGTGCTGGCAGGGCATCAGGTTAGGACTTAGTGTGTGGGGCTGCTGCCTGAGGCTAACTGAGCTCCGTGCTTAAAGGGACCCTAGTCCCACCCTGGACAGACAGTTCTCAGGGTTCCCTGCTTGCTTGTCTATTTCAATGAGGGACAGAAAAGAAGTCCTATCTTGGAGTGCCTTAAGCGCCCGCACTCAGGACACCACAGAACTTGGTCACATGGAGCCAGAGCTGCTCCTGGGCACACCGGTGCCTCTCGTGGGGTTGTTGCCATCAGCCCGGCTGCACTTGCTGCAGGCTGCCATCTGGGGGGGTCCATCGGGGGGCTGTCAGGATCCAGGAGGCCCCTGAGGGAGAGCATCCACCCCGAGAAACCCTCAGAACCTCCCCGGTCCTCCACATCGAGGGCTCGTGCCCCATTCCTCCCTCATGTCCTTCCACTTACCCCT